AATTTCAAGATTTTCAGCTTAGCTAAAATTAAAACTTAAATAAAAACTCAGTTTAAACAATTTTGCAATATTTAATTTTCCTAAAAAATGTATCAATAGATATCTTTTTTTGCTTTTTTTGCTTATAGGAGTGCAGGAAATGTCGTGGAGTGATGGAAATGAACGAAATGGCAGTGATTGCACCAAAATTAGGTGAAAGTAGCGGTTGGCACCCAGCGTGTTTTACGTGTGCCGCCTGTGAACAAGTGAATAATTATCATGTTTACTTAGCTAGCGTATAATTAGATCGGTTATAACAGCAAGAAAAGTGATAATAATAATATACAATAATAATAAACTGTTAATCTACAAAAAATCAACGTCTTAATGATTTGCATGTTGAATATTTTCTAAAAGTGAGTTTGAACAAACCCTTGTACTTTTATTTTTACTTATTTTAAAAATTTGCATAATTTCAGCTTTTAATCGATCTGACATATTGTGTGAAGGACGGTCTTATCTACTGCGAGAGACATTACGCAGAACTTCACAAGCCGAGGTGTAACGCCTGTGATGAGGTAAAAGATTGCAGTAATTAGCAGTTTGCTAAAATCACATCACGAAAAATAGTTTTTTATTTAAAAAAGTATTTTTTCAACAAAAAACATGAAAAAAATACTTTTTTTTAAACAACAAACAGTAAAGGATATTTGCAAAATTTTCTAATTCTTTGATCATTTACTAAATCGATTTTTTTTAACATTAAAATTTTTATCAATTAAATTTAAAATTTCTAAAGCATTCAAAATTTTATACTTGCAATATTCCCTCCCTCTCTCTATTTTTATTTAATTTAAATTTCATACTTATTCTATTTCAATTTTTTTTCTTACTATTACAATTTGAGATCTAATATTAATAAAAAAGTACAAGATTTAAAATATTTGATCAGTACAAGCAATTAATTTACATCCATAAATTTGTTATTTAAGCAACAATACTTTGGCAGTTATTAATGATAAATCGAAAATTTTTCCAATAAAGGTCAATAAATAAGTGATTAATTTAAGTCGTAAAATTTGGATATTTTTGTTGCAACAATTTGACTTTGTGGATGTTAAGTTTTTCCAATTCTCAACATCAAATCGTTGCTTCTTATGTATTAATTTGTTATATTCAGGCAATTGTAACAAATTTAAATTCCAAATTTAAATTTGAAAAACTTTTTTTTTTAATTTAAAATGAAAAGCTGCTTTTTGAGATGCTATAAATATGATTAAACAATATAATAATATTAATAATTTCTAAATTAAATATACTTCGCATAAATCATTTCTTTCTTTCTAGGCGATTTTTAAATTAAAGATACCTTAGATAAATAATTTCTTTTTTTTCTACAAATCAGAAAAGAAATTGAATATATACTTTACAAATTATTCAAATTTGGCTAAGTTTGATTAAATTTTACTTTTTTTTATCACTCAAAACTAAACAACTTTTTGAAGTTAAAGATGTATTTGTGAAAAGTTTTTCGAATTGTTGTTGAAATCTTTGCAGTAATTTTTCATTTTTATTTTTCAACTTTTACAGCCAAAAAAAAGTGAACAAAACTTTTTCCAGCTAATTTTTAGTAGCCTTTTGCTAGTAATGCTTGAATAGATAGTGATTTAAGCTTAGACTATATGTATAAAATCGGACCATAAAATGGAATAGTTGATTTTCATGCAAATTTTTTTTTTACTTTGCAGAAAAAGAGAAGAAAAAAATGTGTTTGAGTGTGTGTGTGTGGAGATAATATGAATCTATGCTAGTGACAACAGAGCTTAAGAACATATCATAAGATTAATCTTGGCCTTAGCTCAGTTTCTGGCTAGTAAGGTACTTTTGACTTGGGCCCAAGCATCGCGTGGAAGTAGGCAGTTAGAATTTTTAAATAGTTTGCCATGGATAAATTTTACTTACAAAGTCATTTCAAAAATTGAAACCAACCTTTCAATTGTTTTTTCTTTGAGATTAACAAATTCTAGCTTTTTCCTTTCAATTTATCATTGCATACTCCCTATAGTTACAAACATATAATTTAATAAGCAATGTATATATTAAAATTAAATAATACACAATTGTATTTATCAAATATTACTGGAAGTTAAGTGATATGTAATACAAAATATACATGTTTTGCTGTGTGCTTAATATGCATATTTTTCAAATTGTATGACATCATTTAAAGAATTGAATAATAATATTACTTAGTCTTATGCTTTTGATATTATTTAATTAATCACTTTGATAAGATTATTAGTACAAAATTAACATTTTGCTTTAATGAAGTTTGATTTTCGTTTTATTTTTGAATTTTATGCTTGTAATGATTGCTAATTGCTTCATTTTAGATATAAACTTTCAGAATTCTTTTTCAACAGATTTTTTTCTGTTGACATCAAATGCTTTCATTTATTTACATGAACTTTTTAAAAAACATAAGCCAAAATAAGCTAGAATTTAGCTGATTGATCGAATTTCAGCCCAATTATAGCTCTACTCTTAAACTTTTTTCCTGAATGCGAAACTTGTCTAATTTGCATAAGATAAACTGTGCGTAGGCATTAATTACATCTTTGCTCTAAAGGATTTTTTTTATAACATTATTTTTAAATAAAAATTTAAATAATTAAAGATATTAGAACAAAACATTTTATTTAAATATTGTAAATTAATTATTAAATTATACAAAAAATGAAAACAAAATTCAATTGCGAAGCAAAATTGACTGCCTTGATTGGACGCCAATTTTGTTCAATCTTTTTTCATCGATAGAAGTAATTTTTCATCCATTATTACTATGTAAAATATATGAAAAAGAAAAAATTTGAGATCAGACTTGATCAAAATAAAAATTGCTAATATTTAAAAAGTAAAAAATTCTAAAAATAGCCATAAAATATAGTGAAAGTAACAGATAGTTTTGATGCTGATAGTTAGACATTTTTTGCTTCAATTTCTATAGCAATTATTTTTCTTCTTCAAATCTCTAACTTAGCCGAGTTCAGAGTTTTAGTCAAATTTAAATTTAGCTAAGTCTGAAGTAATTTGATCATTGTTATTTGTTATCAAAAGTTTGCGTTTATATTTCTCGTTTAGCTTTAATCTTAAATATGGAAAAATAATTAGGAAACTATATTTTTCAAAGCATATCTAAATGAACTTTTTATTTTTTTAATCAGAATTTGAAATGATTTGAGATTAAAAAAATTACTGTAATTATTGTCAATAAATCATAATTGCAAATTACTGAACTGTACAAGCAAGTTTTCAAAATATTTGCAAACATTTGAATAACAATTTTATATTACTTTAATAGATAATAAAATTATTATTCAAATGTTGATTTGCATTTGAATAATAATTGCATTATTATTTCATAAATACAAATATGAAGGATTAATTCCGTATTCAAATTGTGAAAATTCTTACAAGTTATATAAATTTTTTAGCATTTTTGAAGATTTTTACCAACATTGTGATACAAATTTCAAATAAAAAAAAGATCATATAATTAGTAATTGTCAGTAAGTTTAATTGAAGCATTCAAAATATGCAAAATGAATATTCGATCCAAAATATAAACTGAAAGTAAAAAGTTGTAAGTAATATAAATTATTGACAGATAAAAATAAAGTTTCCATTAAATGATTTGAATGCTTTGAATTAAATTTGAATTTTCAAATTCTTTTTGAATAATTACTAAAAGTTCTACTTTTATTTATGATAAAAAATCTATGCAAATTATATATTCTATCATTTGTTAAGACATAATGTTGGGCAGTTATATTCTGAATAAATCAGCTGTCTTTATTAATTATTTCTCGCAATATTTGTGTTCCAATTGAAATAATAAATTGTGTATGCAAATCATGCATTTGTATGCAAATTACTTATAATATATCATGCATTTGCATTTATGTTATGCACTTTTAGTCCCCAAATATGTACGTATGTTTTCAGTATGCGTAATGTGAACATAAATTAAAAAAGTTACACATACAGAAGTAAAAGTGAAACTAATAAATAATATATTATAAGTAATACAAAGCAAAAGTGGCCAAGTAAAATAGATCTTAGATAACAAATTATAACATATTTGATTTGTCTATTTATATATAAATATATATATCCATTACTTAATTATTTAATCAATCAATCAATCAATCAATCGATCAATTGATTAAGTAATCAGTACATTTATTTATCAGTTTATCAATGAATGCATTCTTTGCAATAGTATTATCACGAGTATTTCAATTTGAATAAAGTTGAAGTTGTGTGCTCTCTACTGTTGCTCAATCTAACAGCTGACTGAGTAACAGACTTTAGTTATAATTAAAGTTTTAGCTCATATTCTTATACTTTCTTTACTATAAAATTTTTCTTAATTCGAAATTTAAATTTTATTAAAAAATTCAATTTCTTTCTTTATGAATATAATTTGCATGTTTTATATGTATTTTATATTTACTAATTCTTTTTTAAAATTTACTCACTATTATTATTTTAAATGCAAATTGTTAATTTAAGCAAGTTTTACTGATTAAAACAAACTAAAATTTAGCCTATTTTCAGTCAGTAAAAAAAAATAATGATAAAATTTGACTCTAATTACTCTAATCACTGTATTATTTACTAAACTTTTATTTTATTTTATGCAGAAAAAATGTAAATTAATAAGAAGATATCGTTGATTTTCTGGGCTTGCATCCATCTCGAGCTTTTACTAGTCTTCTTTTTGTTCTAACTTTTTTGGCTGCTTGCATTATCAGAAAACTTACTTGAGTGCAAAACAAATTCTCAGAAGAAGCAAAACGTCTGTCTTTCTTTCCAGTGTTCCACGCTGTTTTCTAAATATTTATCATTGTTTTTCTTAGTGTTAACAAATGTGCACACTTTACTTATTATTACACTGCTTGTCTTTGAAAGCTTTTAACAGCTTTAAGTAAGCATTTCGCTTACTTTAATTTACTTAATTCTTGATCACAAAATTCACTTTTTTCATTAAAAAGTATATGCTATTACTTGCTCAAAAATGAACTAAGCACTCTTCTGAAAGTTAGATGAAAGCTTTAAAAGTCAGTCGTCCAAGCACATTGCTGCTCTAATGTTATAGCTTTTTCAGTATTGTAAATTTTTTATTTTAAAGTAATTTTTGACTATTTTATTTTTTTAAAATTACTATTTCACACTTGTACAAATGTGTGCCAGTACACGTATGCTCACGTGACTTATTTTTTAATTTGTTTCAAAAGTTGCAAAAACTTTTTAGCAGAGAATTAAAGCTTTAGTTGTAATCTCTAATCTCTTTGTTTCATTTAAATTTGAAAAAATAAAAAACAAAACACAAAAAGAAAATGCAGCATAAATTTGTCAGCTATTGGCTGCTTCTGTTTGAAATTTGTTGCATAAATGACATAAATGTCTTGTCTAAAAGCAAATAGCAAGTAAGAAGCTAAAAAAGTCTCCTGTTTTAATTTCAAAAACTGGATTCTGTGCTTGACTTGAGGGAAAACAAGAATCAGCCTAGTTTAGTCTGGAATCTGCTTTTAACTAAGGGGTAGACAAGATTCAGTCTAGTTTAATTCCCATTTCCTTAACTTTTTGATTGTCTTTTCTTGTCCCATCTTATTTTATCTTGTGTTCGTCACAAAGCCCAAGTTGATATGCTAAACCAAATCAGAAACGAATTCAAACTATCTCATTTTACTTATGCTTTCTTTATTTGACGTAAGATCTTGTTAGCTTGGATATCTATTAATATGATAATAATAGTACTCAAATAACAGTACTCTATTTTTGTAATCAATCAAATTATTGCCAAAATTTTTAAGCATAAATTTATTAATAGAAGTTTCATTTAGTAAAAATTACTTGTAATAATTACTCATAAAGGAATAAATAATTTTGCTTAGTATAAATTTGCCAAAACTGAAAGACTTTAATATTTTTCAAGTTAAATAATTGGATAATACAAAAAATATAATTACCTAAGATTCAATATTGAATATTGATTATTCTTGGATAAAACTGTGAAGCACAAGTTTAGAAATGTATTCAGACTTATTACATCTCTTGAAATAATGTAAATATCTAATCTTTTTGTAATAAAAGTATTGTGCAAACTTCATTATTGTCTGATTATGAGAAAATGCTTATTATTAAAGCTTTTCTCGCAAATCTTTTTGCTTAAAACTTTTTATTTTTTTTTATACTCAAAATTTTTACTCAAATTATATATAAAGAGCTTCTTTTTTATGCATATTTTGTTTTTTCTCTCTCTTAAATGTTATGTTTATTTCAGATGAACAAATTCAATTTATTGGAAAACATTCACAAACTTACAACTTGTTAAGACTTACAAGACTTGACAGGCTGTAAGACATTTGAATAACAAAATTTTTCAATTCTTAAATAGAGCAGTCTTCCATTTGTTTCAATTTATTCTTTCAAAGTAAAGCAAAACTGTGACAAATATTTTTTTTCGAGTAAAAGTTGCTTTTGTAATTAAAAGTTTCTAATTTATTTGCATGATAATATTTGAATAATTATGATTACATGTATAAAAACTATTGAATAGTCTGTTATTGCACAATAATTTAATAAATTTGATTAATATTACTGTAATAATGAATGTATTTATCAAATATAAGAAAATAATTACATAGCAATTTTTAATTTTAATGGTTTAGCAAATGCATTTTTAAGCACTGTGATAGCAAAGTAAATGCAAAATTTCAGCGTAAACTTATCAAAGTTTTAAGCATTTATTGAGCATCTTTAAGCATCATCAAATGCCTTTAATTATAGTACTTTGAGGAGAAGAATAATATTCGTGAACAGAAGACATCTTGGAAAGATGTAATTATGCAAGCAAAATAAGCAGTGGAATACGATTAGACGAATTAAATAGTTAGATAGATTGCTTATAAGTTTCGAATGCTAAATATTTTTGTTTGACAACACAAATATGCTAATTATTAATTCTATTCTGTGTTATTTGAACTCAAAATTGAACGGTACTTATACTTTCTGTCAGATATCTTTTGTATTGCAACAATTTGACATTTTTAGCATTACTAATTACAAAAAAATAGTATACAAGTAATATTTTTATTTTATTTTTGCACTATTTACTTTACAGTTTTAATTAGCAACAATTTTTTTGCCATACAGTAACGTAATTCGCAATGGCATTAACGTAATTGGCAATGGCATTTAA